TCTGCCTCAATTTACTTCAATCTTTTACATTCACAAATAATGAGATGGTATTTTAGAAGGCAAAACTCCAACCTCTAATATCATATTTACTTGCAAGAATGTCTCTAGATCACACAAAGCTTCCATAGGCAGTCTTTAAAATATAAGGGCAATGGGTTATTTGAATCTCCTCCCTTTTTTGTTTGGAAAAAAAGAAAAAGATGAAACAGAAGATGAGATAGAACTCTAAGGGATAGAAGACAGCAATTTGACCCATCTGTCACTTATATTTTGTGATTATCATTCACTCTGGTAACTATACTAGGAACTCATAATTCTCCTCTAAGTTGTCTATAACACGCTATCTGGATAGGAAAATATCCTTCAGGGGAAAAAAAAAGACTGCACATGTGCAGAATCCTGTTTTAACTATTGGAACTATTGGAGAAACTATATGAAGCAGACAAAGGGATAAGGCAAGTTGCTTTATGATAGTTTTGAAGAACTAAATACTTGTCAAAGCGAAGACAAGTAATTTAACTCAAATCGCCGGTCTCTTTGATGATATATCTGCATAGTTTTCTTGACAAAAGTCATTTGTCAACAACTTATTCCAAAATTGTTTTTAAGTTCCTAGTCTAGCCTATACACCGTGCAATTTTTCACCAAATATTAACCAAGATCAACCTTGCTTAGCTTCTGAGTCTATACAAGTTTAGTCAAAGCACAATCCAAAATGTTTTCTAAAATACAGTATAAATAGAAGAGGGTATTGTTAATCCAGTTTCTCCTTATAATTGTAAAATAGTTTAAAATTAGTTATTTGAGGATGCGGAATCAAAGTAGCCTATTTATAGCCTCAACACTTAAAGACTACTCATAACAAAAATCTGAAAAATCTATAGAGATTCTCAGTCATCCAGGTCATGGTTGTCCCAAAGGTGCTTTTTAAAAAGGCAACTGGACTTCTTGTTTTTGCTTGAAGAGTGCTAACCACCAGATGACTGCAAGGAATATAAATCCTTCCATTCTCCACCATTCATTCAGAACTGAAAAAGCTTCATGGATGGGAAGCAAAATGTCTTCAACAAAAGCAAGAAGTCCAGTTGCCTTTTGAAAAAGCACCTTTGGGACTCAAAGGTAATCAGTATGATATAATAAAGACCATTATTAAAACAATCCAAAGGTACTGCTCTAACTAATTAGTATTTTATATTTGTTCTCCATCTTTCCCTTACATTCAGAATGATATTTGAGACAGAAAATGAAGCGTAGGGATAGGTTTTGGAAGCAAATTATTATTAGAATTTTTGCCTCACTCTTCTGAACAGAAAGTTTCCATAACAGCTGAGAAATATTACTCCTGCTTTCAGGGTAATAATTTAAAAGACATCCGAAAGAAGGCACACATATACGCATACATTTTTGTGAGCAGTTCTTATGAAACATATTTGCTGATATGACAGTATGTGAGATTTGAGGCAGTATATGTGACTTTCAATATGATATACCAGTGCGCTGACTTATGACTTCAATTCATTCCCGAGTTATGTAGCAAGCTCCTTTACCCTTTGAGTGCTTTATTGCTTAATGGATAAACTGAAAACCTCTCCTGTCTAAAGTACTGGCCAGTGGTGGTATGCATTTGATTTATTATAGGTCTGGAATTAAGAAGATACAGAAAACAAGATCTTCCTCAACCCCTCCAGCCCTACAGAAAACAGTCTGCAGAGCTGACAGCAGACCACCTGATAGCTTCAATTTAATTTTCCTGAGGTGCAAAAGGGAAAAGAAAACCAAACTGAGCTTTTCAGTGCTTTAAAAGCTTCTTCCCATGATATACGGTTTTCTAGGAGGACTGCATTTATGCAGATAAAAACCTGAGTGAGCCATCCAATTCAGAAATTTAATAATTTAGAGATTTGCTACTTTAGATGAAATCGATAGAACTGAAATTATTTACGGACAACAATTATAGTACTCAAACTTAAAATTCTGATAACTTGCAACAGAGATGGTAAATGCTTTGAAAATAAACAATGATATTCTAAACATTCCCTATGCCACTGAGCAAGATCAGCCCAGAGCAACTTTCATGGAAAAAAAATTATACTTGAAATTTTAACAGTACAGCAAAATTAAAGCTTGTCTCTGAAGCTGCATATCATGTGAGTTTCAGTTTCTATTTAGCTCAAAAATGTAGTCTTCATTTTTTATTCCTGAGATCTACAGTAGAAAACCATATTCTGAATTTGTTATGGCAAGTGGAAATTCATGAAAGGAAAGGTTAGATTTTCTACATTTCTTCCATAGACAGGTGAAAAGCAAAAGCTATTCAGTAAAGAGTAGCTAAACAAAAAGGGATCAAATCATTTTTTCTACTTTCATAATTTTTTTTGTTTAACTCTGGATACTGGAGAGAAAGTTTTAGTACCTAGCTGCTTTGAAGAAACATGTGTTACTACTGACTTAAAAGAATTGTAGCCTTTTAAATTCTATTTGAAGATGGAGGTTCCTTCTCCGAGCTTGTGGGTTCGTTTCCAAATGTTTCATTACCAGGCTAGATAACATCTTCAGCAGAACTTAGATTCCTCTAAGTTCAGTGGTGGGATTCAGGTGGTTCAGGCCGGTTCCAGTGAACCGATAATTAAATTGCTGGCTGGCTCTGCCCCTTCTTGCCCTGCCCCTTCCAGGAGTCCCCACGCACCCCATTTTGGCCCCCAGGTAAGTGCAGGCAGTCCTCTTAGACCCAAAACGGGGACGGGGGGGCAGCACATCCCCCCTACGGCCCATTTTTACTCCCAGAAAGCTTCAGGGAGGCCTAGGCCCAAAATGGGCCACAAGGGGGCAGGTCCCCCTCCTGCAGCCCGTTTTTGCTCCCAGGAGGCTGCAGGGAGGCCTACTAGGTGCAAAACAGGGCACAGGGGGATGGCGCATTCCCCCCACGACCCGTTTTTGCTCCCAGAGGGGTGTAGGAGGCAGAGTGCTGCCTGTCACACCATTGGCCATGCCCACCATGGCCACACCACCCATTAGAGCAGAGAACTGGTTGTTGAATTATTTGAATCCCACCACTGCCTAAGTTCCATTAAAAATTTTACCTAGCCTGGCAACAAAACATTCTGAAACCAATCCATAAGCTCAGGGAATGAATCTCCACCCTCATCCTACACCCAAGCTACAGATATTCACCGTTATCACAAATTCTATTTGTTCAAGGGATTTAAAGTGACCTGGCACAGTCAAATATAGGAGTTCCTATACTCTGATTTCAGAAATACGAATCATTTTGTTAAAGTTTTCATTTATACTTTTGCTTTAAATTTTCTTTTTTTTCATCTATCAAGCCATTACATAAACATTCCTTTATGCCCTTTTAATTTTATGTTAACCACTGGGTTGTCTTATTAGACAAATGAAAGACTTTTAAGGTATAACAGTGCCTGGAGCTGAACATAAATGATTACTAAATAGCAATAGCACTTATTATATATCGTTTCATAGTGCTTTACAGCCCTCTCTAAGCAGTTTACAGAATCAGCTTATTGCCCCCAACAATTTGGGTCCTCATTTTACTAACTTCAGAAGAATGGAAGGCCAAGTCAACCTTGAGCCTGTGAGGATCAAACCACTGGCAGTCAGCAGAATTAGTCTGCAATACTGCATTCTAACCACTGTATCACCACAGCTCTGTGGTGATGCTACATTACATTTTTAAAAAATAATTATATGTGTTCTATGCCAAAATGTATTGATATTGTTCAACAGTTTGGTAATTTAGCAAGTTATTTCATTACTGGAGTAAATATGATATATTTCTTGCAGGCTCCAATGTTTCTATGTAAGTTTTTAGTAATTAGGTTTTCACTTGTTGCTTGAATTCACTTACGTATCTTAGAATAGTTCTTAAAAGGGAACTTATATGCAATAAATTAGTCATTCTTATGTGCCTGCAATATAGTACTGAGCTGATGAGTTCAGTTCATTAACTGGAAAATGATTGCTCATAAGGGACAGAATAAAGATTTCCAAACTAAAGAGCCAACAGTTGTCAACTCCTAAGCAGCAGAACTAGGAATAATAGCAATCAGATTTAACAGCCTATGTGACTAGAGAAAAAGCTGAAGTCAATCTTAAATCAGAATATTTAATGTTCAGCTTATGCAGATAAAACTATCCACAAGGCTAAATATAATTGCACACAAATAAACTTCTTCCTTTCTTCTGAAGCCTCCTCCTTCTCCTTCTAAACAGCTATTGAAGCATCTTGGAGAACCCAGGAGGCTGCATGGGGGGAAAGAAAAATCCATTTGATCAATACTGCCCATTCAATGAATGGATAGATTTTTTTGAAATGATTCTATGTAATTGCACAACTATAATATAAGATCAAAAAATATTTCCTTTAGAAAACCATGGAGATGACTTTGGTAAAAAAATGTTTAAAATCTGTTACAAATGTTGGTATAGTACCGACATGTCCTCATATCTACCCATTGGTTTTTTTTTGATTACACACATAATATACAAAAATAATATACAAAAATAATATACTGATAAAGCACTGATAAGTGCTTTATCAGTATTAGTTACTTACTTCTAAAATTTGAAGATCCCCCCTTCCCTGAAAACCCCTGCAAGCAGTATACATTAGTTGATTGGCTCTGGAACATGAGGACATAGCATGCAGTAATTGACTGACCGTAAATTATGCAACATAGTTTAATCAGGTAACAAAGGATAATTGACTGACAGTTCTTATTATCTGTAGCCAGCACAATTTAAAAAAAAATCTGCTGTTTTCCTTTGGAACTAAGATTTAACTAGATAGGGGCATGGTAACTCATGTGGTTAGGAGGGAGGGTTGGAGGGAGCCTATGTGCAAGACCTGAGTGCTGCTGCATAGCAGGGTGAGCTCCTGTCATTCGCTCCAGCTCCTTAACGGAGACATGAAAGGAGCCCTCACGGGCGTCCCCTGGGCAACAGTGATGTCACCAGCTAATCCTTTCAACTCAGAAGTACCTTAAGCGGTGCATCTGACATGAACTGGAACAGGAACAGGAATTTATGGATTGTTTAACCACCCCAGAATTCCAAGGTTAGATTTGAAAAATCATCTTTTATTTAAAAGGTAAGACAAAGTCTCATTCTGTAATGTAGTTATTTAATCAAACATTTGGAAAGTGATTCACGGCTGTTAATTCAAAGATACATATATACGTACATAAATACATACAGGAGGCAGTTCCAGGGTACAGGAATTAATTGGAATTGTGGTATTTTTTTCTGTTCAGAACAGGTGGATAACAAAACCAAGACAAATCTCAAGTCAACAAGAATGCTCGGGAGAAAAAGTAAAGGGGACAAATCAAGTAGGTAAAATAGTTTCAGGCATTTCTTACTGATGTGAAAAAACTATAATGAATGTTTTGTGGCTCTCTATTGCCTAAAGCAAGAATATTTTATTCTTTTCAGAATACAAGTTCACAAAGAATACAGAATATATTTTGCTGCAACTCCTATTTTTTCCATTCATCATTTGTTAGGATCTCAAGAACATGTAGTGTATGCAGTGCTGGCATATGCTTAATGATCCTTTTACCAAACAAATGTCTTAAATGCAAATGAAGAAATTAGTTAATATTGATGATGCTGTTACATTAAATCTATTTAATATCACACTGTGTTTCTGAAATGAGGTGCTTTCCTAATAGTAACTTAAAGACTTGCTGAAGAAAGATTTGAAATTAAGAATGGCCAAGTCTGCTCCTGACCCACTTTTTAAGATGTAAAAATAAAAGGATTGTCCAAAGTTAGGAATAGGATTTAATATGACCAATCCACTTAAATATAAGCAAGTATTACAATATATTTTACTGCAAAAAGTCCTAATTTCACATACAATTTGGGATACAAGATGATAATAACTGGTCAGAATAAGGATCTTGAATCTGTGATGAAAAACTCTTTGTACAGTTGCCAAAAGATTAAAAATTAGCAATTGCAGAATGATTTGTCTCAAATATATACATTTAAAAGTTTGAATGTATGCTTCGGATTATTAGGAAACTATATCATGTTTTTATTAAACTTTAAATCTGAGAACATCTAGAATATAATGTACAATTATAGTAAACTCCAAAAGAGTACTATACAGCAAATAAAATGTTCAAAAGGAAGATTTCCCCTATGAAAAAACATTACACTTAGTCAGTAAATTTATAGTTTAGATGAAGCTAAGAACATGATAAAAAAGATAAGATTATGTTAGCAGATATAACCTTTTGACCAAATACAGCACATTATTTAGCATTAGTTAGTGTTAGCCAGTTTGGTCTAGTGGTTAAAGGCACCAGGCTTGAAAGTGGGAGACTGTGAGTTCAATTCCCACTTTAGCCATGAAAGCCAGCTTGGGTGACTTTGGGCCAGTCGTTCTCTCTCAGCCTAACGCACCTCATAGGGTTGATAGCTTGGAGGAAGAAGGTGTTTGCTACCTTGAATTATTTGTAAAAATAATTAAGTAGTGGATACAAATAAATAAATATGATGTCTTAAACTTTCTTTACTTTTGGTTAATGCATTATATATTGCTCGTATTTTTCTATCTTCCTATTTTATGAAACAACATTTTCTTTTGTGCCAGAGAGAATAAACTTTGTTATATTGAATTTGGTTTGATTTACTGATTCTCTTGGTCAAAGGATCCAACTGCAGATCAAGGCTAATGCAAAGAATTTGCTCAGCCTGGATTTGTCCTTAACAGTATTGCAAGAGTATTCTATTGCTCTGTACTTTCAAATCAAATGTAGCTAGTCAATGTTCTGATCCAGCTCCCCAAACACAACAAACGCTCTGTATTTAAATCAATGATTCCTTTATTAGCAGCGCCAGCAGCCCTGGAAAAAAGTTTCTCTCTCATCACAGTCTAACAAGTCTGTCTGGCAGGGAGATGAATAGTTGTCTGCCACAAGTATTCATATCCTCCCCCTGCCTTTTATCCCCAGAGCAAGGGTGGGCTTCACTAGCAATGGTGGCTCTTCCATTCCAAGATCAGCCCACAGATTTCCAATGCTCTCCTCTCCTCTGCCTTCTGCACATCCATCGGTGCAGACCTCTCCTGCCGAGGTGGTGGAGGCCCTCCAATTGAGAGCCCTAAAGGCTTGAACCACTCCACTCCCAAGAGGTTCGGGCGGCTGTGCTCGACGATGGTGATGGGGAGGTCGCCATGGAAGTTGTGGTAGGTCACCTGGAGTGAGGTTCTTCCCAGGACTCCAATGGGATTACCTCCAAAATCGACCAGCCTTGACCGTAGGGGTTTCAGATCCTTCTTACTACAGCACGGTAAACGCTTCAGCTGATGCCAGTCCATAATGGAGTAGATCGAGCCCGAATCTACTTCCATGGAGCATGGTATCCCTTCCATGTGCACTGTCACGTGGAACTTGGTGGCGCTGTTGTCGTCGGTATGGGCGATGGTGGTCTGATGGACTGCTCCGCTCCTGGTGAATTCGTCCTCCCCCCGTCTTGGTTGGTAGGAGGACCGTCTAGATGATCTCTGGTTGTCATTGAGATTTTCGCGAAACCGGTGCTTGGACGGTTCTGAGGCTGGATCCTCTGCTCTGCAGGCTTCTGCAATGTGACCCCTCTTCAGACAATGTCTGCAGGTCGCATCTTTCCACCGGCATTTGGCCCGTGTGTGGTCCCCTCTGCAGCTGCTGCAGCGTTCCCCCCGATCGCCATTTTGAGCCGTTTCCCGCCTTGGGGGTCTGGAGACCTTGTGGATGGCCATTTCCTCCTCTGACTCAGATCCAGCGGTGGATTTGTCGGTGGAAAGTTGGGGGGCCCTTTGGATCTGGTGAACCGCTTTGGCTTTCAACATTGCAGCCGCTGCTTTCTCCGAAGTTTCCGCGGCCGTGGCTTCTTCGACAACTTCCTTGAGTGCTATCTTCTTTCTGCTCAAGAATTTCTTTTGGAGCATCATATCCCTCATGCCAAAGACAATGCGGTCTCTGAGGGCATTGTCCATGTTGTCAAATTCGCAGTTGGCTGTGATTTGGCGCAGGGCTGCCACGAAGTCCTTGATCGACTCTCCTTCCAGCTGATTCCTCTGCTGGAAGGTGAAACGGTTAGCGATCGGAGTTCCCGTTGGGGCATAGTGTTCTTGTAGCACTTCTTGGAGGTCGTCCCATGACATTTCTTCGATGTCCCTCGGGACCATGAGGTCAATGGCCATTTCTAGGACTTCGGAACCGCAGTGGGCCAGGAACAGGGCTCTTTTTCGGTCATCGTTTAAGTCTTGGAAGTTGTTGCCCCTAAGGAACTGGCGAAATCGGATCATGTACGATCTCCATTTTTTTGGCTAGTGAGACTAGCGGGGCCTGCGGAGTTGCCATGATTCCGGTGGCTTCGGATCCTGTGACTAGCTCTGTTGGTTGGCTGGCGATGTGCCACGAGGTTCGTCGCTGTGGTTCTTTGTGTCCTTCGTCGCCAGTATAAGATCAGGCACAGGTAAAGAAGACGCGACCAGCGATGGTCCATTCAGCACTTTATTTCAGCTCAGGACTAGACTGCCGGCTGTGCTGCCGGAGCTCTCTCTTATAGCGCTCCGGCAGGCTGAGCCGCCCAGTGACAGCAGTTCATTTTTTCCCGCTGGTGGATTAGCCAATCCCCGACGGATATCCTTATAAGGACATAACAGAACTTACTCTATTTGTTGAACAATCTTTTTGTTAACTATCCAATCATTTGAATTATATCTTGATATTGTTTGTTAACCTGAATTTTGTACAAGTGGCACAAGTCTACAACAGCAGCCAATAGTCAAAAATGCATTGTTGTTTTAGTTTGTGTAAGTCTCAGATATCCTGTATACAATATTGCAAGTCATTTTAACTAAGGAGAAAGAGGTAGGACACACAATTGGCCACAGTAAGTATGTGTCTTTACCTTCCCTACCACTGCTTTACATTTCTACTATCAAATCTCTTGCGATCAAATAATCTGGGGATTTTACTAAGAGTAGAGAAGACAAAAGGATTTTGCCATTCTTCACCTAAAAGAAAACTGACTGGATGTAGTTTGAGAGTATGCATTTATTCTTCACAGAATATTTTAACAGCTTTGTTCAAATCTGAGAGAAAGCTAAATGGTAACAAGAACACTTTACAGAGTCACCTTCAGCAATATTCTTGTCATCTTCAACACTCACACAAAAATGAAAAATGGTTTTGCAATGCATGAATTAAGCTTGTATCAAACTCACCAGATGTATACTTTTCCTATTGTTCTCATCATATCTGTCTCCCTAAAATCCCCAGAGTCTTGTACTATTTTGCCTCTGAACAGAAGAGGTGATGTTTGAGAATCACATTTTTCTTCCTGGTCCTTTTCAGAAACAAGCTCCTAAATTGCAAGCAACTGAAAGCTTTCGTGAATACAACAGAGTAATTTTATATATTGAGAGAACCAATTTGGTGCAGTGATTAAAGGCATCATGTAAGAAACTGGGAAAGTTCTAGTCTTACCTTAGTCCCAGAAAACAGCAGAGTGATTGTGGGACAGCCTCTGCCCCTCAGCCCTAGGATTAAGATGATGGCAAGACATTTCCAAAAATACTGCCAAGAAAATTGCATTATTTGTCCAGGCAGCTGCTGGGAGTCAAAACTAATTTTTAATACACATATGTATTAGGAGAGGCAATTATTTTGTGGCATGATCGCTTCTAGAGTCATTCTCTACCAGCAATGGTGGACCAAGGCTAAGCAACCAGGGTTAATCCACTCATCTGTGATTGATGATATAAACTCAAACCAATTTTATATTTGCAACAGGGAAGGGGAAATTGTTTTTTTCAAGAAAAGCTCCAGGTACCTTGAAATGATGGCTGCTCCCAAGTGGGTTAGCTTTTTTCAATCCTCCCCAGAAACAAAACCCATTAAGAACACTTGCACATCATTGAGAATTCTGGCTTCCCATGAATGAACAAGTGTACTAGTACACAATCCTCTGCCAGTTCCATTTAAACAAGCTAAATGAACCACAGAAAGCATTTGCAAGATGTCTTGGGATGTGCAAATGACTTCAACAGCCATTTAAGTGGCTTCCATTCCAAAACATTTTTGGGAGCATAAACAGTGGTTAGAGATGCACAGAAGCAGTCAATATCTTATATTTGACAGATGGCAGAACAAAGAGAAAGAAATTATGCATGAATGAATTCTGACCAGAAAGGCAATATAAATTAACACATGCACATATTCAGGACCAGGAACATAATAAAGATGAGGTACAAACTGAAGCTGATCACATTCTTTAGAATTTTGACAAATGACTACACTTGTTTTATACAGACTGACAAAATGGTTGAAATTATTCAGCGTGACAGTGAGCACAAATAAACATATTGATTCATAAATCAAACCAACTTTTTGGGATATACTATTCCAGAGGGCATAGATAATATTGTTTTAAAGACAGGAATTGGAAAATGCCCAATCTGTCAGATCTTACTGAATGGATAGAAACAATGGGAGACTGCCAGATCCTATACAATGAAGGTTACAACTAATACCCTGAATTGTACTTGGTAACCAGAGGGGCTGGCAGAGAGGTGTACCTTGAGTAAAAGAAGTAAAAAGAAAGGACGGAGAAATACTTTCAGATTTATAAAATTGATGTTAGCCCTTCGAGACAGTCCAGACAAGAAACATAACAATGTTATGTTTATTTATCTTCACTGTAAAATTACATTATCAGAATATCCCCTCCTTTCCTTTTACTCTCCAGAAAACTAGGTAAAGGTCCTTTCTGAAATTCTTTCCATGTCCCCTCTATTTGTGGACTGAGATAACATCCATCTCCCAAAATCATTCCTACATACCAATACACACATTATACACATACTCAAGAATACCATGATCAATGGTTTTGAAGGGCATCAAGAATCCACAGGAGAAATACCACTATCCAGAGGTATTATCCTCTGCCACAGGTCATCAGTCAACTTGATCAATGCTGTCTCTGTGCTATGTCTTGGCCTGAAATCTAATGGAGAAGGGTCCACAGCTTCCAGCAAGGTCCTCTGAAGCTGCAATCCAACTGTCTTCTCAAGAACCTTCCATAAAAAGGAAAGTTTCAAGGCTGGATTAAAGTTGTATAGCACCAGTCTAGCAATGGATTGAGAAGGAGGCCTCTCCCACCCAACTCACTCAAAGATGGACCCAAACAAACATACTTTGCTATTCTTGTAATAAGAAGAAGGCAATTACTCCAGATTTCTGCTGAACAAATTCCCTATTCATTCTTGCCATATTTTTACTTCCCCAAAACAAGTTATATGGAATTAAGTGTTGAGTTTGAGCTATATACAAAGCTATATTCAACCTCAAATAATGGAGATATGATTTTTGGTAGCTGGATTGTACTTTGCTACTGCATATAGGCCCAGAAAGGAGATTTCTTGGACAGATCTATAATCTAACCAACTAACAAGCTTTCAAGAAATCATCTTGAATAGGTTT